AAAAAAATTAAAAAAAAAAATAATGCAACAATGAATCAAACCAAATAAGTTAAAAATGCTTGTCAGATTATTTTGAGGGAATTGCAACTAATGCCACGAAACATGTATAAATGATTAATAGAAAAATAATATGCTTAGTAAACTCTTACACAAATCAGAATGTTAAAAAAAAGTTGCATGGCAGATAAAAATACCTTTTTTATTTATAATTTATAATTACATCATAATAAACTGAATTTACTCAAGCATAGTTTATAAAACCACAACACAATCTTGCAAATATATTTCATATTTGTCAGGTCATATTAAATATATAAAAACCAATAGTTACTGGTGGTAACCAAGAAATGGAGTAGGGTGAAGAAAGGCAAACCATTTTCACAGAATGGCGAATGTTTGTCTACAGTGATGGGAATAAATTGGCATCACCTAAGTGTACTAGTTACACAACTTGACTATTACAACTGTTATCACTAAACTGTATCCTAGAAAGAAAACTAAAAGGCAAATACACAAAAATCAAAGCCCTCACAAATCTATGATTTAGGTTTTTACATTTAATATTACACAAAAACTACAGCACCCAAAACAAAAACAGACTGCAACTGTTGATAATGCTTAGCTATAAAAACATCTAGCATCTCGTGGTGTTAGTTTTCTTGGTTAAAGGGTTTGTGATGGTGTTCTCCTGGGCTGGCTCAATGAATTGGACTAATATTATTTTTTTCTGTTAAATTATCTTTTTTCTTATGTTCCATCACAAATTAGATTCCTGTTCATAAAAATTTTTACACAAATTGCTCAGAGGCATTGGCAACACTTTTAAAAATGTGTCAACATTTTATTATTTCCATCTGGTTGTTCTATTCACAGTAATCTAATTTCCATGCCCCCTGATCTTTTCATTGTTGTTTTAGAATAATTGCTGACCATTGATTACACACAAATACACACAAAGGACAACATTATTCATGGCCTAATATTATTTTAAGAGTTACTGTATGTAGCCATCCAAAACATATTAGGAGTCTTTTGTCATTGAAACCAGAGAGGAAAAAAGAGATCCCCCTAAATCTAAGAGGGAAATGGTATACAGGTCTCATTGTCTCCATAAACTATACTTTGCCACGAGACCATAGACATGGATGTTATCTGGTTATCATTACTGAACATTTTGATCAGGGGCTCAATAGATGGATCTTGATCAAAAGGAAAACAATTTAGGAATGGAACTTCAAATTATCCCCCCCAACAGTTTTATTGGCATATAATTCACATATCATACAATTCAGTAATTCAATCATATTAAGAAGAGTTGTACAATCATCACCACAATCAGTTTTAGATCATTTCTTTCATTCTCATACTCATTGTTATTAGCTCCCCATCCCCATCCCCACCTTCCCTACCATACCCTCAAGGAACTGTTACTCTAGTTACTGTCTCTAAACCTATCCTGGATTTCATATTCAGAAAAACATTTTTAAAAAAAAGAACTAACAAGAATAACAAAGTAAAACAGGTAAAACTCTCAATGGAAATGTTAAAATGAATTTAAAGGGTCAAAAGGGAGATCAAATGATAAAGTGCTGAATTTTAACCTAACTACATCTGCAACAATGCACTTTCCGATACATTCTACATAATAGGAAGGGTATTCACATCCTTGGTCCATGGTCAGAGAGGATTTACCAGGGACTTAATCCATGTGTATTTCTCCTTTTCTTTTAAAAATGAAACAACTTTAAAATGTGTCAACAAAAAGATCAAATTATAAGATATTATATTTCAACTTAGGTATGCCATAATTAACTTTACAATGCTCTCTGTCTGATGATAAGGATATTCACATCACTTAACGATGACTGGAAGGGATTCACAGGAGGTTTAATCCATATGTGAACCCTACAAATGGATTTTGAGCTTTCACAGTCATTCAGGGCCTTCTGTAAACCAGGTGTTCACAATTTAAAGCTCTGGGATATGGAATACATTATTTATAATCCTTGGATCATACAAGTTGGTGTGCTTCTTCCATGGGATCTTAGTTGATGCCTCACTTATAAAGCTGTTTGTTTGAAAATCAGCCCTTAAGACCCCAGATGTTATTCTTTCTGATAGCTGAGCACCATGTAGTTTCTTCACCACACTTAGCTATAGCACCCATATTTTCAGTACTTTAAATTCTTAATGGAAATCAGATTTATTGCACACACTGACTGGAGGGATCCCTGAATCTGTCCCAGTTATTTATCTTTAAACAATTAACCTCAATAAAAAAAGAATGTCTGTCTTCAGCATTACTGAAAGATTACCTACATAGACTGAAATGACAGCAGTCACTCTGCTGCACAGATTAAAATTTTTAAAAATCATTTTATTGGGGCTCATACAACTCTTATCACAATCCACACATACATCAATTGTGTAAAGCACACTTATACATTCATTGCCCTCATCATTCTCAAAACT